CACGTGAGACAGCGGCCAGAGAACCTTGTGAGCTAGTGACTTTTAATCTACTCGTGTCTGTCTGTCTCTCTCTCTGTCTCTCCTATTCTCTCCATTTATTTCTCCCCCCTCTTCTTATCTCTCTTAATCTCTCCACCTCTCTCTTCATCTCCCTCTCTTTATCCTAATTTCCGAGTGCCTTTTATTTATTTTTTACTCTCTCTCTTTCTCCTGTTCTCCCTCTTTAATTTTTCTTTCGTTTCCCTCTCTTTATTTATCTTTCTCCTTCCTTAAATTTATTTTATTCTCTGTCTCTCGCTATTTTTCTCACCTCCCCTTCTCTCTTTTTCCAGACAGACAGACAGACAGATATGTAGACAGACGCAGACAGATAGACACAGGCAGACAAGCAGACAGACACAGACAGACAGACAGACACACAAACAGACAGACAGAAATAATCACTAATACATACCCTTTAGGAACACCAGAAATAATAAAAAAAAAAAAAATAATAATAATAATAAATATTTAAAAAACTCGTCAAGTGTGTACGGTATATTAAGACACAAGTGACATGACCTTAACACATTACCACCTGGGTGTGAAGTGTCACCTCAACTTTCCAATCAGTCGTTCATTACTATCACAATAACGACAGGAAGTTCGCTCTGTCGGTGAGCTATAACGAAAGGTCACCGACTACAGTATCCCTGGAGCGTGGAGTTGATGGTGGAGGAAGAGTGGAGGTGGGGTGTGGGAGAGAGGAGAGGTAAAGGAAGAGTGGAGGTGGAAGGGGAGGGGGTGAAGGAAAAGCGGAGGTGGAGGGAGATGGGAGGTGGGGTGGGGGAGGGGGAGTGGAAGTGAAGGTGGACTTGGAGGGAGAGTAGTGGAGATGGGGGTGGTGGAGAGTGGAGGAAGATTGGATGTGGGAGTGGAGGTGGAGTGAGTGGAAGTGGAAATAACAAGGAGAAAAGTGAGCAAAAGATTAAAAAATGAAGAGTAGAGTGTGAGAGGTGTAGAGAGTGGAGGGGAGAGGTGTAGAGTGTGGAGAGGGAGGGGAGGTGAGATTAGAGGTGTAGAGAGGGAGGAGGGGTGTAGAGAGTGGAGGGAGGTGTAGAGTAGAGAGTGGAGGGAGAGGTGGAGAGAGTGGAGAGGAGAGGTGTAGAAGAGGGAGAGGTGGAGGGAGAGGTGTGAGAGTGGAGGGAGAGGTGTAGAGAGTGGAGGGAGGGGGTGTAGAGAGTGGAGGGAGAGGTGTAGAGAGGAGGGAGGGGGTGTAGAGAGTGGAGGGAGAGGTGTAGAGAGTGGAGGGGGAGAGGTGTGAGAGGTGGGGAGTGTAGAGGTGAGAGGGTGTGGGGGGTGGAGGGAGAAATTAGGGGAAAAGTGTAGAAAGTGGAGGGAGGGTGTAGAGAGTGGAGGAAGAGGTGTAGAAGTGGAGGGAGAGGTGTAGAAGAGAGAGAGAGGTGGAGGAAGAGGTGTAGAGAGTGGAGGGAGGGGTGTGAGAGTGGAGGGAGGTGTAGAGAGTGGAGGAAGAGGTGTAGGGAGGGAGGGGGTGTGAGAGTGGAGGGAAAGAGGAGTGTGGGGAGTGGAGGGGAGAGGGGAGGGTGGTGGGGGTGGAGGAGAGGTGTAGAGAGTGGAGGGAGTGTGAGTGGAGTAGAGAGTGGAGGAGAGGTGTAGAGAGTGGAGGGAGAGGGTGTAGAGAGTGGAGGAGAGAGGAGAGTGGAGAGAGGTGTGAGAGTGGAGGGAGAGGTGTGAGTGGGGAGGGTGTGAGGAGGTGGAGGGAGAGGTGTAGAGAGTGGGTGAGAGGTGTGAGGTGGAGGGAAGGTGTGTAGAGGTGGAGGGAGGGGTGTAGAGAGGTGGAGGGAGAGGTGTAGGGGTGGAGTGGAGGAAGAGTGGAGGGGGAGGGTGTGAGAGAGTGGAGGGAGAGGTGTAGAGAGTGTGGGGGTGGAGGGAGAGGTGTAGAGAGTGGAGGAAGAGGTGTAGGGAGTGGAGGAGAAGTGTGAGAGAGTGGAGTGAGGTGTGAGAGTGGAGGGGAGAGGTGTGAGGGGTGGAGGGGAGAGGTGTGGGAGGTGTAGAGGTGGGGGGGTGTAGAGGGGTGGAGGAGAGTAGAGGGAGAGAGAGAGGTGGAGGTGTGAGAGAGTGGAGGGAGAGGTGTGGGGAGGGGGGAGAGAGTGGAGGGAGAGTGGAGGGAGGGTGTGGGGTGGAGGGAGAGGTGAGGTGGAGGAAGGGTGAGAGGTGGAGAGGTGTGGGGAGTGAGGGGGAGGTGTGGAGAAGTGGAGGAGAGGTGTGAGAAGTGGAGGGAGGGGTGTAGAGGGAGAGGTGGCAGAGGTGGAGAGGGTGCAGAGGGTGGAGGGAAGAGGTGTGAGGGGGGCTGGAGGGGAGGGTGTGAGAGTGAGTGGAGGGAGGAGGGTGTGGCAGTGTAGTGGAGGGAGGGTGGAGGTGGGTGGGGGTGTGGGGAGTGGAGGTGTAGAGGTGTGTGGAGGGAAGAGGTGTAGAGAGTGGAGGGGAGAGAGGTGTAGAGAGTGGAGGAAGAGGTGTAGAGAGTGGAGGGGAGGGGGTGTAGAGAGTGGAGGAGTGTAGAGGGAGTGAGGTGTAGAGGTGTAGAGGGGAGAGGGTGTAGAGAGTGGAGTGTAGAGAGTGGAGGAGAGGTGGTGAGAGTGGAGAGTAGTGTGAGAGTGGAGGGAGAGGTGTAGAGTGGAGGGAGGTGTAGAGAGGGAGGGAGAGGTGTGAGACTGGGGGGAGAGGTGTAGAGAGGGAGGGAGGTGGAGAGTGGAGGGAGAGGTGTAGAGGGGAGTGGAGAAAGGGGGAGAGAGTGGAGGAAGAGGTGAAGAGAGTGAGGGAGAGGTAGAGAGTGGAGGGAGGGGTGTGGGGAAGTGGAGAGACTGGGGAGAGGTGTAGAGAGTGGAGGGAAGAGGTGTAGAGAGTGGAGGGAGAGGTGTGGTGGTGGAGGGAGAGGTGTAGGTGTGGAGGGGGTGGAGAGGGTGGGGTAGAGAGTGGAGGGAGAGGTGGAGGGAGTGGAGGAGAGGTGGAGAGAGTGGAGTGGGGGTGGAGAGAGTGGAGGGGGTGAGGTGTAGGGGGTGTGAGGAAGAGGGGAGGGTGGAGGGAGAGGTGCAGAGAGTGGAGGAAGAGGTGTGAGTGGAGGGAGAGGTGTAGAGAGAGGTGTGAGAAGAGGGAGGGAGGGGTGTAGAGTGGGTGAGGGAGAGAGTGGAGGGAGAGGTGTAGAGGGAGGGAGAGGGTGGAGTGAGAGAGTGTGAGAGAGTGTAGAGAGGGAGAGGTGTGGGGGAGAGGTGTAGAGGGGAGGGAGGGGTGTAGAGTGGAGGTGTAGAGAGTGGAGGAGAGAGGTGTAGAGAGTGGAGGGAGGTGTGTAGAGAGGGAGGTAGAGGTGTAGAGAGTGGAGGGAGAGGTGTAGAGAGGGTGGAGGGAGAGGTGTAGAGAGGGGAGGGAGAGGTGTAGAGAGTGGAGGGAGAGGTTAGAGAGTGGAGGGAGAGGTGTAGAGAGTGGAGGGAGAGGTGTAGAGAGTGGAGGGAGAGGTGTAGAGAGTGGAGGGAGAGGTGTAGAGAGTGGAGGGAGAGTAAGGAGTTATTTATGGAGGGTCGTGGAGTGTGGAGAATGTAATAGAATAACATGAGAAGGTGAAAGAGAATGAGGGCGTAAGAGGAGGAGGAGAAGAAGAAGAAGAAGAATAAGAAGAAAAAGAAGAATTGGAAGAGGAGGAGGAGAGGAAGAAGAAGAAGAAGAAGAAGCATTGGAAGAGGAGAAGTAGAAGAAGAAGAAAAGGGGGGATCAGGACTCAGGACACGACCCTCAACAGGCCCGGGACGGACCGCCATGAACACAGGTGAGCCTCAAGGTGCCTATCACTCTCTCACCATCTCCCTCTACCTCTCTCACTCGGCCTCTACTCTGTTGCGTCCTGTACTAGGGAAGTTTATGCCTGTCACGTCTCCTAGTAATTACTTCCTCACAAGAACACCGAAATAAACGTTCTTTAAAAACTTAGTACGTTAATCCCGAACGTCGTTTCCCGCGCTAAAAAGGTAAACAATATCAAACCCTTCCACCAAACGTTTCCCGCTCAAAAATGTAAATAGCGATATTCTTCTACTATACGTTTCCCGTCTTAGAACGTAAACAATAACAAATCCTCCCACTTAACATTTCCCGCGCATACAGATAAAATAATAACAAATCCTTCCACCGACAGTTTCCCGCGCAAAAACCTAAACAATAAACAACTCTTTTACTCTACGGAATGTTGATAGCGTATTTTTATCCCATTTTCTCGACGTAGAATTTTATTGGCGGGATATTTAACGTCTAACAATAAATACAATTGACAGTCATCCTCGCGATATTTTTCCCCACCTTACAATCGGATGTTTGGCTTTCGACTTTCTATTGAGCTAAGAAAAATACGCTAATTGAAGAGTCGAGAATTAAATCAAGACTGTGTGTGTGTGCGTATGTGTGTGTGTATGTATGTGTGTGTGTGTGTGTGTGTGTGTGTGTGTGTATGTGTGTGTGTGCTGGGTCAACATTACAGAGGCACGGTGCAACACCCCTGCTGAACCCGTTTGTTTATTCGTGGTTGGGAGATCAATTGACTAACAGGGATAGGTCTCGAGCCGTTAATTCCTGTGCGGTTTATGCTTCAACGGAGGTCCTAAAGTTCCTAAACAGCCAAGAGAACGAGAAATCGAGAGATACAATGAGATAAAATGGGACAAAGAGACAGATATACGCACAGATAAAATCGATCCACAGAAAGACAGAGAAAGTAAGAGAGAGTCAAGAGACAAGGAGATAATGTCAACAATATTGGCAAGAACAGCCTCCCAAATTCACACTCGTTATATGAAGCGAAAGGAGAATCAGATCGACAAGCAGGTATTAACAACACTAAACAGCCTAGGCACCGGAGAAACCCCTTGTATCAATCATCCTTGTGAGTGAGAGAGAGAGAGAGAGAGAGAGAGAGAGAGTCAACAACAGCCAACGGGAGAGCCTCAAGTAACACTCACTCTCGTTGCAGGAGGAGCTGGGGATGTTGATCTTGGGTGCCAGGGTCACTGGTGCGGGTGTCACTGGGGTGTTGGATTGCTGTCGGGTCCTCGTCGGTTTTTCTTCCCCGAAGGTGTTGTCCCGACGGTTGTTGGTCGACAGCCGTCCTCCGATCTTCCGACCCTGGTGGAGAGAGAGAAACAACAAGTTAATTAAAGTTTGTTTATAAGTTTTATGTGTTTAAAATTTACATATATATGGAAGGAGAGAGAGAGAGAGAGAGAGAGAGAGTTAATATAAGACCTAGTAATAACAATATGATGGGACGTGTGGTCGGTGTGGTGACACAGTGGTAAGCAGGAAGCTCACCACAACCCCCTTCACTCCCCTCCCCCTCTTCCACCCCATCCCCACCCGACACACTCCACACATTTCTCTTATGTAAGCTGACTTTCTTCTTATTCTTCTTCTTCCTTTTAGTTATTCTCAAAGGTTAGGGGTCAGCCTCTCGAATCCGCCTTCCTCACGTTCGTCTGTCGTCAGCCTCCTCCTCTTCCCCATGTTCTTCACGTCTCCCTCATCCACCACCTTTCACTTCCCTATTTCCTCTTATCAGCTTCTTCTGGTTTCCTCTAATTGCTTATTTTATGTTACTCTGAATACATTATGTGTCGCGTGTCTCAGTAGTCCAAGGAGTGAGGGGTTGGTGGTGGACCTCTCCCTTCCCTGTCTCAAACACTCAACAGCGGTGAAAGGAAACTAATACGACTCACTAACATACTGAAAAAAAAATGGACGACCCTTTTAAGAACAGTAAACACCTTGTAAACAACCGCAGTGGGTGAAGTAGATGTCAAGGGTCCACTTTCTCACAAAACACACATAAAATACACAAGACTTGGGGTAAAGGGAAGGTTGGGGCGACGGGGCGTCTACCTGCCTTCTATGGGGAAAGTCGACATATGTTCCGTAAATAGCGGCCGCCGGCAAGCCCAAATGTCATAAGTTTACCCGTGTGATTAGCGGGAAGTTGCCCCATCTGCACACAACGAGAAATATGTCCTTACAGTATTTCTATTCCCAGAGCTTCTCACACTAAGTTCTTCCTGTAACTGAGGAGCGAGAATGTATATAGTTACTGCTGAGTCTCATTGGCGTTTCGACACCATTTTGACCGCCTTGGTTGAGTGTGCTAATTTATGGCAACAAGTTTTAACATGTAAACAATTGAGGTTCTGCGCCTCGCTTGGTGTAATTTTCTTCCAAACACGTGTAATGCATCCAGTGTTAAGTGCAGCTAACAATGACCTACTAGTGCCAATATATGTTAGAGACTCAGCTCCACAAAACAACCAAACCTGAAAGTTACTAAATGGGGAAAGTCGACAAACATTCTTCTATATGCGGCCGCTGGCAACTCACACGTTACAAGCTTACCCGAGTGATTGGCGGGAAGTTGCTCATCTTTTACTCACTATAAAAAAAAAAATCTTTAAATACTTTTTACTCATAAATCCTCCCCCCCCCAATGTAATCCAAATTCATCTAATCTCGGCTCCGGTTAGGACTGATCTATTCACGTCAAGATGTTTTAGATCTTCGTCCACAAAGCAACAGAACCTGAATAGTAGAGAAGTTATCCCCTAACACGTCACAGTAAATAACGACTCTACTGTACAGCCAGGCAGGGAGGGCCGCTATAACAAAGCATATCTCATGATAGAGTACACAGCTCCTGTATATAGATAAGACGTAAGATGTCTAGGGTGTTTTCTATCCCTGCCTGTAGCTAACACGCTGTCTAACATGAATATGAACCAGGAAGGAGTTTCTCCAGGTAATGGTGCCACTGGTAATCAACTGAGCTTCCCGTGTTCCCGCCAAAAGGAGGCCGAGGTAGGTAAGTGCCGCGTAAAGTCCGTGAGGTTTGTGGTTTAAGTACTGTACATGGTTTAAGTACTGTACATCAACAGATCAAAAAAGTACTGTTGTAAGGAAACCAGGAACAAGAAAGAATGTTTGGATTATATTTCAATGTACACACAAAAACTATCTGCCCACCTGGACCCGGTGTGTGGAAATGAGCAGAATGTACAGCAGTTACGGTTCGGTTGGTATTTCTGATAGTGAACTGCATCTGATAATGACTATGATAACTGCAGGAGCAATTCACATCCAGAAATACCAACCGAACCGTAACTGCTGTACATTCTGCTCATTTCCACACACCGGGTCCAGGTGGGCAGATAGTTTTTGTGTGTACCAAAAAATAATGGTTTTAGAATAATAACAAATAAACTAAATTATGCTCATTATGTATTATTCCGACACCATTAAATAAATTCAGCCTCCCCCCCACCCTTTTCACATATACCACATTCTCAATAAGCTTCATTTAGATAAAACATTCTTTCGTTCATTAAACTAACTATTCTGAGGCCATACATACGCTTGAAGCCTAAACCATATTTAACTTACGCGGCCCATATATCCCCCCCCCCCCAGCAGGGTTACCGCCAGTGGAGGGAGCGACACTAGTCACCCACGTGATGAACAATACCAGGGTCACGGGGTCATGTTCTCACCGCCCCCTGCTGTACTGTGACTACTCACGGTGTGTGTGACACACTTAACGTACTTTATAATTATAAGAAAGTTTATTCACATACAGCATTCGTGGTGACAAGGGTTTATTTATATCTCAAAAGATTGATTGACTGTGGTAATTATATCCCTGGCGACGCAACAGCTTAGGTCATATGTCGCTGAATTAAAATAAAGGTTTAAAAGACTAAAATAAAATAAAAGCTCTGGCATCTCATATAAGCTTTGTTTACATTCAGTCCACCTAAATATTCTGCAATATATTATTGTCTTAATTCAATTATCTACAACGGACCAAGGATTTTGACAACTCTACCGAGACAACACGAGTCACAGTGTTCATTTTGAAATTCATCGGACCCTCCGTGAAGGGATATGTTCAGGAATGTGTTCCTTCCTGACGCAACGAAGACGTGGTTTAGGTGTCGTGCAGGTCCTGTTTGTAAAATGTTTTAGACCAAGACTTATCAATGACCAAAATATTATCCCACATCACTAAAACTAACCAGCGCTTAAATATTACCCATAACGAGACATAAGAACGTATCCAATGGGTCCAAACATATGAGAAAAAAGATGGCATCAAGAAAACATCTGACTATTGTAAACATATACGTTCTCCTACCCCCAAAAATGTCCCTACAACCCGGACTTGACTAAACACCTGTTAACACGTGATCGTAGGTCCAACACTCCATCAAGCGGTAGTTTTCTTTACATTCCAGGACAGACTTTCCATAAACATAAAACAGGTCCTTGTGGGTCATCCTTTACGGGGTGACTCACTACCGGGGGCTGTGGGACACGAAGAGAGAGAGAGACTTTTCCCATTTTTATAGCCTTATCAACACTGTTCGGTCCGGGTTAAATCATGAGACTTAAAAAATTAAAACATATATTGTAGTGTGTGTGTGTGAGTCGTATAAAAATTTTTCACTAAAACTCCAGTGTAAAGAAGAAAACAGGAATGTAAAATAGAAATATGTCTTTATTTTCCTTCACTAAACATGTTTGTAAAAGTGGCCGAAGGCCGTCAGTCCGTCACCGCATTCCTAAACCTGCGCATGTATTGTGGGACTAGGAGCAGATGTATATAGAGTGTGGGCGGGAGAGGTTGTGGTGAGGGGAAGGAGTAGTTTAAGCGAGGTAGGAGGGGGGTAATTCTACTTCTGATACTTGAAGTGTCATCAAGGTACAGACGATCTACTGGTAGGTAGGTGTGGTGTGTGTGTGTGAGAGAGAGAGAGGCTAAATGCAAAGCTACCACACAATAACACCAATACCCCAAAGAACGATACATATTAACACACAAAGAAAGGAAAAACTCACAAACATTCGGTCAAGATCACAGAACAAAATACGAGACGGTATCACAAGGACAAAAGAACCGACATGCCAGTGATGATGAACCCGTCGGCAGTGGACTAAAGGAATCCTCTACTGGTAAGAAAAGACCCCGAAGAGAGACTTACAGCTGATTGGAGGTTCAGGGGGACTTAATAACCATTGAAGGATCATGACAGGACGACTATATAGGTGTATAGAGAAAACAATTCATCAATAACAAACAATGATTATATATGGTGTAATTATCTATACTATACTATACTCGCCGTCTATAATCTGTATATATAGAATAAAACTAAATCAATAAAAAAATAATGATAAACTTTCAATCTTGACAAAACGCATTAACACTCCACCGAGGTGCTGTCCTGACTCGGGGCTTTCTCCTCGCTCTCTCCATCAACACTTTCTCCAGCGTAAGGGTCAAGGAGGAGAAAAAAAATAATGGAGAAACTATCCTTTTGACGTATTGACTCTTGACCAACTGATAGCCGCCCTTGCCCCTGGCATGGGGAGGAAGGGGAGAAGAGGAGGAGGAGGAGACAAATGACTTGGGGGGAGGGGGAGGAGGGTAGACAGAGGAGAGAGCTGGGAATGGGGTGTTAGGAGAGAGAGAGAGAGAGAGAGAGAGAGAGGAGAGAGAGAGGAGAGAGAGAGAGAGAGAGAGGAGAGAGAGAGAGAGAGAGAGAGAGAGAGAGAGAGTTGGGAGGAGGGGTGGTGAGGAGAGGGTAGAGAGAGATGAGAGAGAGAAGCGTGAAGAAACGGATGAAGAAAGATAACAAGAGAAGAGAGAGGATGGTGAAGAAGAAGAAGAAGGGAGTGAAATAAAAAGAAGAATAGGAAGAAGAAGAAGAAACAGGAGGAGAAGTAGGTAATGAAGACACAGGAGAGGCAGTTACAGTGTTACGGTTTATAGTATAGCATTTTCCTTATCATTAGCTAATCCTCCCTTCTCTCTCTTAGTAGCAGCTGCATCGCGTTATATCTACGTCATCCACACGTTATACTCTCTCCCTTAATGGTATATCGACACTTCATAATATACCACAGCTACATAACCTAACCTAGCCCAACCTAACCTAACCTAACACATAACCTAACCTAGCCCAACCTAACCTAACCTTGACTACACCACACACTGAGAGAGTATCATATTAATAACTCACTGCCGGTATCAATATCATATCCACGTTAAGTCCAAATTCTCAAAGGTTTGCACGGTGAATTTCTTC